CTCTTTACCCTTCCCCCTTAAAACCCATTGAACTTAGCAGCTGCCACATGGTTCCTTGGAACCCAACAGCCCCTGCATGGTTACTTGGAACCCAGGCGTTGGGTTCGTTTGAACCTAGTGCTAGGTTTGAAAAAAATTTATGTTTTCTTTTTTTCACGGGTTTTGTTGTTTGATAATGAAAAACAATTGATTGATGAAGAATGGAGGGTTCGTTCGAACCTAGTGCTAGTGCTAGGTTTGAAAAAAATTTATGTTTTCTTTTTTTCATGAGTTTTGTTGTTTGATGATAAAAAAGAATTGATTGATAAAGAATAGAATTTCATTTCATTGAATTAATTGTCTGACTCAGAAAATTAGTGGCAAAAGTTGTTTTGGAGGAGGCAAAAAGAGGGAAAAAGAAGGATAAATGAAGAAAATTCGAGAAAGAGGATACTGAAGAAAAAAGATGAGAGTAAAATTGTAATTTTGGTGGGTTACATGGCATGAATATAATCTGTTATGTTGCCATGTCATCATTTTGATCTGACGTGTCTAAAATTTTTACCATGTCATTAACTCACTATGAGTTAATAGTGGATATTTAACGGAATGACCAAATCGAAGTCAAAATAGTAAATAATAAAGATTAAATCAAAGATTTTTTTAGTTTAGAGACCAAATCAAAAGTCTATACAATAATTTAGGAACCAAAATGAGATTTTAACCATTAATTAAATAAATAAAGGTGGGATTTTTGTAAAAAAAAAATTGATTCTTTTGGGGGAAATTTTGAGAATAATCATGAAATTTAATTTAACAATTTAGAAGCGTGACTCTGCATTCTAATTTTTTAATAGAATATCTGGTTATATGGAAAAATTATTCACTTCATTGCCGAATTAAGCCACTAATATTTTTTTACTATTGTCTTCTTCTTTTTTTAACAGGTTTGTAATTTGAGATGGAAAGATTTGAATCTAACCCTTAGATTAAAAATGTACTTTAGAGACCAACTTATACTTATTAAATTGTAAGACCTAATTATTTTACTATTTTCTCTTTAAGAATTAATTTAAGTGTGAATTCAATTAATGAGGTAATTTATCATTACTTAAAATGATAATCTGTATTTTGGCCTTTAAGAAATAGAGGAGTAGGATGAATTTTTTATTATATTATAATATTTAAAAATATTATAATTTAGTTAATTAAAAATTTTTGTCTCCCCTCTTTTCATTCTTCTCATACTAAACTAAACGCAGCATAATCTATAAAAGACTTCAAAGTTTTGAAATTTATAATAAATCCCCACTTTTTCTGAAAAATTTTTTATTTTTCAACTACCAAAATAAAAAAATAGAAATAACAAATAAGAAAAAGAAGAAATTGGAAGAAGCCCGTAAATATTTATTTTCTGATAAATAAATAAGCTAGGAAAAAGAAAAAGGAAAAATTACTTAAAAATCTGATAAATAACAGTAAGATGACAAAGACTCAGGAGGCCAAACCCAAAACCCATTCTATGCTTGAGCTTCAATGTCCAGGGCCAAAGGCCTGAGCGCCCTCTTCCGAGCCGCCGCTGCCGGCCGACGTGCTGGCGACGCACATCTCCCAGACTTAGTTAACTGCCTCGACGCCGCAGTTCCGTCATCCTCCACCTCCATAAAACACTCGGTGAACCTCCCCGAACCCGCCAAATCTTGCCGGAAAAGCCTCGGCGATGTCGGCCTCTCCAGCCAACTACTCGAATCATCGTTAGCGTCCGGTATGTTTCTATTCTTTCTTACATTGTTAAATTCCACTCCCTTTCTATCCCAAATTTTGTTGTCTTGGCTTTCAGTGGAAATGTTCTTTTTTTTCGCAGTGTTTTGAGTTTTCTTTTGAACGTTTGAGCTTGCATTTGGTTACATTTGATCCTCATCTGATATGTTCCTTGCAGAAGATTCTTCAAACCAATTAAAGCAGCAGATATCTTTCATAATCTGTGGTATGTGTTTTTTTAAAATTATAGTATTTGAATCAGATGTTATTTTTAAATGCAAGAAGAGAATATTTTGAGTTACTATTTTATTGTAATTCGTTTGACATGCATATGGATAGCATTCAGATGGAAAATTTTCCCTTAATGACCCTCTGGTTAGTTTTCCAGCTACTGGTATGGGGTATCAATCTTTCTGAGTTGATAAATAGGAAACTTAAGCTGCATGTATAAGTGAGGAGGAATAAATGAATCAAGTTAACTAATTGTGTTTGTTGGTTTCTCTTCCTGTTCAGATAACACATCAGATGGTTCACCTGACTCAGGAGGGACCAGCAATGATAATTATTCTGGATCATTGGATATACCATGGCTTGAGTTGATGTCTAACAAAAATTTACTGATTAAGCGGAAGTTAGTTTCACGTGAAAGGAAACAGAAATGGGTTTTCAAGATGAGTCAGGTTCCTCGATTTAAACAGTTAATCAAATTGTGCGGAGAGAAACTAGGGTCAGAAGCTACTCTTCAGGTATTTGGCAAGTTGGGTAGAAAAACTGGGGTAAAAGAGTACAATTCTCTAATAGCAATGTGTGTTGTTATGGCTAGGACAACTGATGATGAAGATGTTGCATTAGTAGAAATGTCCAAGGCTTACAGAATTTTTGAAAAAATGAGAGAGCAAGGATATCAGCTAGATGAAGGAACTTATGGTCCATTGCTAATGTATTTCATTGAGAGGGGAATGATAGAAGAGTTCCATTTTTTCTGTGGGTCAATCAAAGATGGGAATCCTAATTCACTTCCAAGATTAGGTTATTATGAGATGCTGCTATGGATTTCGGTTGATAATGAAGAAATGATTCAGCAACTTTGTGATTACATTGCAGCTGATGACGAAGAAAATATTCAGTTAAAAGGTTTATGACTAATTTATTACATGAATCTTTTCCTTGTTTTTAGTTATTTCTTTTTATTTATTTATTTTTTTTTTTTTGTGTGGCAAATAATTTATGTTATTCAAATCTATAGGACACTGTTACCTTTGCAGAAGGCTTACAAACATCTTGTTCCCGCTGCAGAAAATTACTTGTTAGCACTTTCTGAAACTCAACGAACAAATGACCTTTTGCGAGTATTGGAGATTATTGATATAACAAAATTTTCAGATTTGAACACATCTAATATATTTAAATTGCTGGGGAGGCTGTCATTGGAGTCCTTAGCTGAGAAGTTCCTTCTGGCATTGAAAAGCATTGGTAGGTTCATGATGTGTGCATTTTTCTGATGTGGAGATTCTTATATTTATCTGGTGGATTTACTTGTGGCAACTAGCCTTGGAATTATTCTGAATAAAGAAATCCCTTCGAAAAAAAAAAAAAAACAAATTCCTTTTTGAAACTGTAAGTCTTTGCAGATGATACTGGTTTTTAGCTTTCTATAAATTTCATTTGATTGAGGATCTAGACTCTAGAGAGTACAAGGCAGTATTTTTTTTTGGACATCAGCACCAAACAATTAATTTAATAGTAATATCCTGAGAGGTTCTAGTGCAAGTGCAATTATACAGCACTTTCCATTTTTCTTTGAATAAGTATGAGTTTTCCTTTCAAGTGAAAGTTTGTGACTATGGCATCTTTGTTTGGACATCTAACGTTCAAATATCATTAAGTAGACTAGTGTTATTTCAATTGGAAGTTTGTAATATGGTTATCTTACTAAATGCAGATAGTGGATCAGAGAAAATCTTGAAACTCATCTTTAGTTATGCCTCCTGCATTCCAAATTTAGCGGTGAGGAATCTCTCCTGATGCTGCTGGTAATTTCCTTGAGGCCATGATTTGCTGGAGCACCTATGCTCCATCGTGCACTTTTTTAAGTGTCTTTAAAATGTTTCTGATGTTTTTCCTATAGAATTTTGCAAGTTTTCTGTTTAGGTTAGTAAGGAACTGATGATTAATCTGTTATTCTCTTATATTTTTTGAAAAGAAGTAGAGAACCAGAAGCAATGGTACCAGATCACTTAAGTTGTCAATTACAGCTATCATCAGAAATGTCTGGAAGATGTTAAATACGTTTGGAAATTGAATTTTGCTTTCTGTTCTTTTGTTCTTTTCTGTTTCCCCTTTTTTCCTGGGTGGCAGTGAGTGCAGGGAGAGAGTACTATATTATGCATTCATCCCTTCGTAGGCTTGGAGTTATACTAATAGACCCTTGCAAATTAGTTTTTCATGAGACAACCTGAAAAGCTCTTGGTACAGAGTGAAGGAATTTATGATTGTTAATTCCTATTAGATAGAAGTATATGCAGTTTCTGCAAGAATGACTAATTTGAAGCACATATGTCATATTTTAGTTAGTATACTCTAAAGTGCATTATTTGCATGTGTAGGACCATTTTTGCTGTGTTTCTATATATATGGCTTGAAAGATATGAAATATTGTTTCCGTATTAAAGCATGTGTTACACCTGTTGTTTGTTGAAGGTTGAGGATGTTGTTTTGAAATTTGAAAGCTTGTGCGTGAAATTTGAGATAAGGCCATCGTTAGAATCATACCAGGAGCTCATTAAGTATTGCTGTGGTTCGCATAAGGTAAGACTTAAATTTTGAGTAAAAGGAATGAGAACATTTGAATTAGCATCCTAACTTTTGTAGGTCTTTTCTTATCACACATCTATTCGTTTTACCTGTTAGCAATTCCTATGAAATTTTTTGATGTTTATTCATTGTAATGTAGGTGCAAATGGCTCTTGATATTGTTGACCAGATTTGTGAAGATGGTTTGAGCTTGTCCATAGACACACTAAATTGCATCTTGAATGCTAGTGAAGAGAACTATGAGTATAATTTGGTATCTCACATCAATTCTCAAGTACTCATTTCCTATCAGTATCATATAATGATTGGATAAAAACATCATATGCCACAATTTTATATCATTTATTTATTACCATCACATGCCCTTTTATGCAACTTATTTAATTTTTGTCTTTGGAAGTAAAATGTTTAAAGGCAATCCTAAGTTCAACTGGCCAAGTAGTCTAGCAATTTTCATGAGGCAGATATGGTAGTGCTTCAGAAAGAAAAATAAAGGAAAGAGAAATGGTTTTTTTTCCACAATTTCATTTTAAGGGGAGCAAATGAATGCAGCAAGTAAGGAGGTTTTGTATAATACTGAATTTCTCATGAAAGGAAAGTGTATGTTTTTTATCAAACAAATTCTCTGATATGGTTGTGAGTCAGATGATGACTGTATCTTTGCATAAGCTTCTTATTCAAAGTCTTCAAGGAAATAGAAGGAAGATCATCAGATGTCTATATATATACATATGCCATTTTAATTTAAAGCAAGTTGTGTTACCTTTTACAGTATTTTTATTACTATCTTTGAGATAATTCTCTCTCTCTCTCTCTCTTTTTTTTATTTTTTTTTTCTGGGTGAGAAAACAATATCATTTTAATGTAATGCAAGTTGTGCTACCCTTTACACTGTTTTGTTGTTACTAATCTATCATTGAAACAATTTTATATTGCATTTGATAATTGACCAGTATTCTGAGTTTTGTATTATCTTTCTTGTCATTTTGTTTGATCTTAAGGTTTGGCGAATTTATTCAGTGATTTGTCACCATAACTTGAAGCCAAATGCTGAGACATTCAGGAGTATGATAAATTTGAGTGTTAAAATGAAAGATGTAAGTTGCTATCCAGCTCTCCTCTCTTATAGTTCTTGGTGCTTGTGCATGTTGCTAGTTGATTTGCTTTTCCAAATTTCATTTTGATCTGGTTTGTGTTTCTGTTGAACTAATTTTATTCCACAGTTATTATAAATAAAGCTTGTAGTTCTTTTCATCCATTAATTGCAGTTCGATGGTGCATATGCAATGCTTAATGATTCAAAGAAAATGAATATTGAACCTGTAGCTAGCATGTACAATGCTATAATGGCAGGATATTTTCGAGAGGTAACTACAGTCCTTAATACTTTTGCTCTCTATTTTCTTTCTTCTTTTCTTTTTGGAAAAGCTTTATTCTTATTATAATTTGCAATGTGCCTCATGCATGATATCTGTCACTGTGCTTGCTGCATTGTGGGGTTGTCACTTTTTTCAGTCTATGTGTCATTTGGTGGGTAATATTTACTATTTAGTGGTTGAGAACTATAATTTAAGATTGGGTTTATAGTGCCTGTGGCAATCTTATCGTTTGAGAATTATATTTACCACTGTTTTCTTGGGTAAAAACTCCTGACTTACTATCTTTTTTGGGAATGCCTACTAATAAAATATCCTGACTGAAAAGTTGTTGAAAACTGTGAAATTAGGAAACTTTTTTCTCCAATGACCATATGCACTTATTTTCCCACCTCAGTCCAAAATGTATCTCCTATATATTTTATTGATTTTCAGCATAATATACAAACTCAACACTCTGGCTCTTCCTTTCTTATAGACTAATTTTCCTGCTTTGTAGCAGCCTGGTAGGTTAAAGGAGGTAAATGTACTTTATTGGGTTTGGTTTGTTTTGCAGTTTATATTGATTTCTCTGTTGTTATGTAATTTTCAGAAAAACATTTCTGCTGGATTGAGGGTTCTCAAGCAAATGAAACTTGACGGTGTAAAACCAGATCCCCAAACCTACAGCTATCTAATAGGCTTTTGTGACTCTGAAAAGGACATTATAAAGGTAGTATGCAATCCCATTACACTATTATAATCAATTGAAGTATCATGTCTTCCCCATTGCTATATGTTTTTCTTTTTTTTTTTTGGCCAATCCCAGTTGCTATATCTTGATACTTTCATTTTTGCTGTCTTGCATTATCGCCACTTTTATTCTTGTCATGCTGCAATTGGATTGAGGATTTCATAGCCGCTGACATGATTATTTGGTTATTTGCTTGTAGTATTACAAAGAACTGAAGTGTTCAGGGATTCCAGTTACAAAGCACATATTTATGTCACTTGTTAATGCATATGCAGCTTGTGGACAGTTTGAGAAAGCAAAACAGGTAGAATTGCAAAATACATCTATCTAGTGGTAGTTTCAATTGAAGTCCCGTGTTCTTCAGATGTTAAAGCAAAAAAGTAATATAATGATTATATAGTTTTGAGAACTCACCTTTGTGAGGCTGTTTAAACTATGATTAAGTGTTGGATATGTGACATCTATAGGATCTGACAACTTAAAAACTCTCTGCATACTCTCTATTTTTATATCCTACATCTGCATTCATGCAGTATATTTATTGTATTCTGTCTAAAAAGCCAAAAAAAAAAAAAGAGTTCTGAAAGATTGTAATTTATGTGATAGGTACTCTTGGATGAAAGGATACCAGTTAAAATCCTAAATGAACTCAAAAGTGTCCTCATCTCTGCTCTTGCATCAAATGGGCAAATGGCTGATGCCCTTGACTTATATGAAAAGATCAAGCAAGCTGGAGGCAATCTAGAGCCTAAAGCTGTTATATCTCTCATTGTAAGTTTTGAACAGGACTTTTGTATTAGTTTTCCTGTATGATGGTGATATTATGGTTATTTTTCCTGTTTGTCTCGTAGGAGTATCTTCATTCCCAGGGGGACTTGAATCTCATGCTTCAACTATTGGAGGAATTGCATGATCAAGGCTACTGGATTGACGGTTGCTGCAGAGTTGTCACATTTTGTGTTAGAAAAAAGCATTTGAGGTTAGCTGACATGAAATTCTTCTTTATCTGGGGATTCTATTATTCTACCTAGTTTTCTAACCAATCCAATTTTTATGTTCTTATCTTTTTCTAGTTCTCTCCCTCCTTTTATGATTGAATGTTGTCTAAACCATCTAATTATTCTTAATTCATTCTTTTATCCAGTACTGCTATTGATTTGCTCAAGCAACTCAAGGACAAGTTTTATGATGATGAGCTGGCTGCAGAAGTTCTTTTTGATGAGGTTTGCTCTTACTCCCTTTCTCTTCCTTAGTGCTGTCTAATCTTCTTGCTTGATATTTGGGTACTCTTCTCAGAGACTTCTAAGACTTGAATTTTCCATACAGATAAGACTTTTTTTTCATAAACATCTATGAATTTGTTGGTGCTTGACTTTTTTTGCATTACCAGAGTATTATCTGTATTATTATTTGATTCTGTCCAACGTTAACAAACTGACTGCATTGACCTTCAATTCTGTGGTTCCATTATCTTGATCAAGTAAGACATTTGCCATTATTGCCGAGGAAGAACCTGCAGATGTACAGTTTGGTGTAGATTTGCTACAAGCCATAAAGACTAACATAGGCATTAGCCCCTCACGGAAATGTCTTGATTTCCTCCTGAATGCCTGCGTAAAAGCAAAAGATCTGCAAAACTCTCTTTTGGTATGGGAAGAATACAAGATTGCTGGCCTTCCTTATAATGTTTTAAATTTCTTAAGGTATGCAATGCTCCCGGCTATTCATGTACCATCTTCTCTCTCATATGGAACCAATAACTGAACACCAGGGATTGTGGATTAGATTAAAGTCGCTTCTTGATTTCTGATGGCTTTTGTTACTGGGTCTATGCAGGATGTATCAGGCACTTTTGGCTTGTGGAGATCACAAGTCGGCAGAGGTTATGCAAACCAAAATTCCAAAAGATGATCCGGATGTGCGGGATATCATCAAAGCATTCCAAGTAACTTACCCTCACTTCCTCGAAGGTGAAAAAGAAGGAACTTACGCTAAGTCAGCACCTGCAAAGGCCAACAAGAAGCCACAGGTGGAGGAAAAGAAGAAGAATAAAAAGAAGAAGAAGAAGAAGAAGAAACCTGAAAAGTAAAGAGCAACTCGAAAAGAATACGAAACAGACCCGGAATCAACATTCTTCGCCTTAGAGAAATCTTCCAGGCATTTTGTCGAAATCTCGAGTGGGCTGGGGAAAAAATTTATGTGTAATATTTATTCTTAATCTTCATGCATGCTTAAAGAGATGAATAAAAAGAGAAGGCTTAGGTTAGTTGGCATTTGGGTGGGTGTGGGGTAAAAACTTCGAACCCCAGTCCTGTCCTTGTGATTCGTTCCCTTTCCCCACAATATCGCTTGTTCGAACAAAAAAATATGGTTTTTGGTAGGTATTCAATCAAGGTTGTTTGTAGGTCATTGATTCAACTCTCTTTTTATCCAAACATGCCTTTTATATGAAAGAAAATACGTTTACATAAGATGTAAATTTTGTTACTTTTTTTATTGAAGGATAATTTGTGAA